CAAGGCAAAAAATCCCACAATATCTGCTTTGAACTGGGTTATCCAAGTCCGCACTCAGATAATGTGGGATTTTCTGTCTTGATATTCTTGAATACAGGGCTGTGTGGAAGGCCCTCACCTTATATTGAGGAAAGCAATGGCAAACCCCATCAGAACAAATCTTGGCAAGAAAACCCTGTCGGTGTCCCACAGGACAGAAACAAATTGAAGACAAACAAACAAACAACAACAACATGTCAGTGAGTAAGCAGCCATCAAAACAAGGTGCAGAAAATTGGACGAGAAAGTGTTGGAGGGTCGAATTATAATTTGGAAAAAAAACGAATGAATTCCTATGCACACTGCATATGTCTTATTTGTGGTGCAAAAATACTTTAAAAATACAATAATTAAAACAACAATTTTAACAAATATAAACTTATTAGTATTTCAATGGGAAGTGTGGACCTGCTTTTGACTAGGATTGTTATAGTTGTTGTGTGCTTTTAAGTCGTTTCAGACTTAGGTTGACCCTGAGTGAGGGCTGGGTAAATGACCTTGAAGCCTTAGTTTGGGGACCCCTGAAATAGAGTATCTTGGGGAAGGGTGGAGTAGGTTGACTGGCCAGGAGCAGATCATGGTGTCAATTTTTGTTGCACGTCCTTATATGTACTCCTAAATTCGACTGAAATATTAGGAAGTGCACACATGTGTGTGCATGCACGTGCATGTGTTTTCCCTGCTTATAGAATTATAGAATCATAGAATCAAAGAGTTGGAAGAGACCATGGGCCATCCAGTCCATCCAGTTGCATTCAAATCACCCCTGACAGATGGCCATCCAGCCTCTGCTTAAAAGCTTCCAAAGAAGGAGCCTTCACCACACTCCTGGGCAGAGAGTTCCACTGCTGAACGGCTCTCACAGTCAGGAAGTTCTTCCTCGTGTTCAGATGGAATCTCCTCTCTTGTAGTTTGAAGCCATTGTTCCGCGTCCTAGTCTCCAAGGAAGCAGAAAACAAGCTTGCTCCCTCCTCCCTGTGGCTTCCTCTCACATATTTATACATGTCTATCATATCTCCTCTCAGCCTTCTCTTCTTCAGGCTAAACATGCCCAGCTCCTTAAGCTGCTCCTCATAGGGCTTGTTCTCCAGACCCTTGATCATTTTAGTCGCCCTTCTCTGGACACATTCCAGCTTGCTTATGTTAGTTAACCTTTTACTTCAAAACCTTGCTCTTTCCCTCCAACTGATAGGACAAAAAAGGTCAAGGGTAGCTTTTCAAGTTCTGAATTCTGTGTTTTTTTCATACATTTTCTCTTGAAGATGCAACCAACATTGAAATTGTGGATGTTGCTTGACTGTTGCCTTCCTGCTCTGGCTTTTTTCAATACCTATTGCAGTTGTTGTTGTTGTTACCCTGCTTTTTTCCAGGACTGGAAACAAAGCTCCTACACTACATTATATGGCAGTGTAGATTCAGCTACCGTTAAAACATATAAAAGTTAAGTATTAACACAGAATTAAACTAATTCCAATACTAAAAGAATTCAGATTAAATCTCTCTTCCACCCACAATTTGATATTTATTCTCTGAATGCAAGGTTGTCCCATAATTTCATCCTATTTTTTATTTCTAATGTACCTTTCTGAAACTCTGGCTTAGTGATAGACCTACAGTGTCTACCACCAAGTGTCTACGGAGCCCCCGGTGGCACAGTGGGTTAAACCCCTGTGCCGGCAGGACTGAAGACCGACAGGTCGCAGGTTCAAATCCGGGGAGAGGCGGATGAGCTCCCTCTATCAATTCCAGCTCCTCATGCGGGGACATGAGAGAAGCCTCCCACAAGGATGATAAAGACATCAAATCACCTGGGCAACATCCTTGCAGACGGCCAATTCTCTCACACCAGAAGCGACTTGCAGTTTCTCAAGTTGCTCCTGACACGACAAAAAAAAAAGTGGTAGACCTTCCTTCATGGGTCTGAAGGGCCTTCTTTAGTGGAGACGACATTTGTATTTTCCATCATCTTCCATCTTTCATTCCCTCTTAGGGCCCTTCCACACAGCCATATAACCCAGAATATTAAGGCAAAAAAAAAAATCCCACAGTTATCTGCTTTGAACTGGGTTATGTGAGTCCACACTGCCATATATTCCTGTTCAATGCAGATACTGTGGGATTTTATTCAGCTGTGTGGAAGAGGCCCTAATCATGAAATTGAGATCCTGGTCCTTCAACCATTTTCCGCCTAACTTATTTCATTGTCTTCTCACTAAACAAAGAGCGAAACAAGCCATCATCTAGAATTTTATTATTTACTTTGGAAAATATTAATTTTGACAAAGGGCACAACTACACTGTAGAAGTAACGCAGCTTGACACCATTCTAATTGCCACCGCGCAGTGTTGTAGTCATTATAGTTTTACAATTATTTCATTTATTATTTATTTCATATTTGTACCCTGTCCTTCCCTACCCACAAAAGGGGACTCAGGGTGGCTTACAGCTGGCAACAATTCAATGCCTCCCATATACACACAGATAAAAGAGCAATTACAAAATAGATAAAACATTAATATAAATTAAAACCATTTAAAATAGTGCAAATTCAATTAGTTGGCCAAATGTGAATCTGAGTTCTACAATCAACAACTTGGTGCGAAGCCTGTCCATAGTCCATTTACCATAGCATGGTCATCATTTATCAACCTACTATCCAAATACTGGTCCCATAGCCAGGTTTTCAACTTTTTCCTGAAGGACAAGAGGGAAACAGTTGACACAGTTTCGCTGGGGAGCAAGTTCCACAGGTGGGGGGGGGGCACCACCAAGAAGCCCCTGTCTCTCATCCCCGCCAAGCGTGTTGCCAACAAAGGCGGGACTGAGAGCAGGGCCTCCCCAGAGGATCATAAGCTTCGAGGTTTTTAGCGTTCTCTGCCAACTTGTACTCGTGCCTCACCAAACTACAAACCTCTGTCCATTTACCATAGCATGGTCATCATTTATCAACCTACTATTCAAATACTGGTCCCATAGCCACGTTTTCAACTTTTTCCTGAAGGACAAGAGGGAAGCAGTTGACCCAGTTTCGCTGGGGAGCAAGTTCCACAGGTGGGGGAGCCACCACCAAGAAGGCCCTGTCTCTCATCCCTGCCAAGGGTGTTTGCAACAAAGGCAGGATTGAGAGCAGGGCCTCCCCAGAGGATCGTAAGCTTCGAGGTTTTTAGCGTTCTCTGCCAACTTGTACTCGTGCCTCACCAAACTACAAACCTCAGGTTTGCATAGCATTGAGCCATAGCAATTAAAATAGGGTCAAACTCTATTAATTCTACAGTTGAGAGGCAACTTGAGTCAATTTACAGGATCTGATGTCAAGTCAACCTACTGCATCTAATGTAAGGAGATATTGAAAAACAAGCCCTGGAGACAGCAACCAAAAAGCCCACGATATGGTTCAGATATGTGGATGACACCTTCACTATTTGGAGCCATGGAGAAGAAGAACTCAACAGGTTCCTGGACCATCTGAACAGCATCCACCCAAACATCCAATTCACCATGGAAAAAGAAAATGAAGGAAGACTGCCTTTTCTAGATGTCCTAGTCATCCGCAAACCAGATCAACAATTGGGTCACACCGTTTACAGAAAACCCACACACACAGATAGATATCTACATAAAAACTCCAACCATCACCCAAGTCAAAAAAGAAGCACAATTAAAAGCCTTGGCAGACCGTGCAAAAAGAATCTGCGAACCCCACCTTCTCCAAGATGAACTGAACCACCTCAACTGGGCTCTACAGGCCAATGGATACTCCACCTCAGAAATCAGAAGAGCTGCAAAACCGAGAACAAACCACGAGCGTAACGATGAAGATCCACCCAGAGGAAAAGTGTTCTTGCCATACATCAAGGGAACCACTGACCGCATAGGGAAACCGATGAGGAAACACAACATACAAACCACTTACAGACCCACCAAGAAAATCCAACAAATGCTACGTTCAGCAAAGAACAAGAGGGATCCTCTCACCTCTGCAGGAGTCTACCGTATACCATGCAGCTGTGGACAAGTCTACATAGGGACCACCAAACGCAGCGCCCAGACACGCATCAAGGAACATGAAAGGCACTGCAGACTACCAACCAGAGAAATCAGCCATAGCAGAGCACCTGATGAACCAACCTGGACACAGCATATTATTTGAGAACACAGAAGTGCTGGACCACTCGCACAACCACCATGTCAGACTACACAGAGAAGCCGTTGAAATCCACAAGCATGTGGACAATTTCAACAGAAAGGAAGAAACCATGAAAATGAACAAAATCTGGCTACCAGTATTAAAAAAAACTCAAAAATTACAGCAGAAAAACAACAGAGGGGAAACAAACAGGCACATGAAATCACTCTCAACAAAAGATTCCCCCCAGGCGCTTCCAAGCCATTGAATGCAAATCAAGGTGATCAGCTGAAACATTCACAGCTAGCCCCAGCAAACAAAAGTCCTTTGTCTCACCCTGGTCATTCCACAGATATATAAACCAATTTTCCTAGTTCCAACAGACCTCATTACCTCTGAGGATGCTTGCCATAGATGCAGGCGAAACGTCAGGAGAAAAATTGCCTCCAGAACATGGCCATATAGCCCGGAAAAACCTACAACAATCTAAGGAGATATTGATTCAAAGGTTTACATATTTGTGACATTTACACGGAAATCTTAATACCTGGAGAGAGGGAGCCATACTTTCCAACACAGGCAGGATTCTGTGTTACTGTGAAAATATAAGGTTTGCAACCTTGACTTTATATCTGATTTTGGAAAAGTTTCTTTTTCAGGCTTCAACAGTGGTCTCTGGAAAACACTTGTGAAGAAGTAATTTTTGCGAGATCTGCTTTAAGATTCCATCATCCTTCGTAACACCTGTGTATTTACTGCACTAAAAGCTGACTTGCCAAGGAGACTTAACAGGACATGTACAGGCATTGAATAAATAGTTTAGCATCTACTCACCCACTGTATTATCCTGTAAAGGCTGTGCTTTGGCCCGGAGGCAGAAGGACAAAAGGAGAAGCAGAAACATCCCTCCTCGTCCAGGGCGACTTGTGGTATCAGAATAATCCTGTTAAACGCACTCAATTGATTTGCTGGGATGTGTCTTCAGTCTGAATGTGGAACCAAGCTTGGAGTGGATCAGAGAAAGACTAGTCAGGATGCTAGGGGTTTTATCAGAGGAAAAGGATGAGGGGATACGGAGGGGTCATTTGTAGCCTTGACCTACTCTGTCTTTTAGAGACAAAAAAGACTTTTAAAAAATGTCACCCATTTGGTGTATTTTCAAACCCATCCTCCAATTGTTCTCTTGATTTCCAGTGACACCTCTACTATCTAATCTGTAAAGTGTGACCAAGAAAGGGCTACATCCTGTGGAAACGGGGATGGGGAGGAAAGATGGGTCATCTTTATCACCATTTTAATTTCCCTCCATTCTATTTCCTTAAAAGAGGAAAAGGTGACCAGAGAGATTCTTGCTCTGAGGAAACAGCACATGAAGGAACAAAGTTTCAGTCCTGAAGTTTCCAAATGGGAACATAAATGTATATGGAATGGATGGTTTATCCAAAATTAGGGCATATAAATATTGGATAAAACTAAATGCCATGGCAAATGATAGGCTACCAAAATTGTGCCAGTTAGAGCAGACCAAAAACCAACATCAGTCCTCTTGGCTAGTGCAACTGACAAAATACATCAGGACTTGTGGACTTCCAATTCTATACCCAAATCTTCTAGAGGAATTAGATCCAAAAATGGTGGCCCAACGAATACAGGATATAGAGGCTCAGAAAGACATTGCCACCCTTAGTAAAGCCGGCTCACTGAAATGGTTAAGTCCCTTTAGACATACTTTTCAAACAGCCGAATACCTAAAGACAGAAATGCCTAAACATCTAAGGAAGGTATTCATTCAAACAGACAGATACAATGGTTAAACATGGAAGGTTTAACCAAGTTCCAAATAATCAGAGGCGGCCCTAGGTAATTTTCAACGGTAAGCAAACAGTATTTGGGTGCCCCCCCCCCCAACCAATCATTGATATATATTTTCTGTTTGTCGTGGGAGATCTGTGTGCCATATTTGGTTCAATTCCATAATTGGTGGAGTCCAGAATGCTCTTTGATTGTAGGTGAACTATATATCCCAGTAACTACGCTTGCCGCACTTGCTCCCTTGCCTGGCCCGCTTTGGGTCCGGAGGCGTGCCTGAAGACCCCGGCGTGTGCACCAAAAGTCACCTCTTCTCCTGACTTTCTCCTCAGCCATTGGGACCGAGAGAGAGAGACAGAGGTGGAGATGCCCACCTTTCCTGAAGGTAGGCGCAAAAACAAAGGAGGGAGCGGAGGTGGGAGATACCTCCAGCCAGAGGGGCTCTCTCTCTCTCTCTCTCTCTTGGTCCCAATGGCTGAAGAGAAAGTCAGGAGAAGAGGCGACTTTTGGTGCGCACGCTGGGGTCTTCAGACATGCCTCTGGACCCGAAGCGGGCCAGGCGCGGTGGCTCCGCCCCTTGGCCCACCCGCGGATTGGGGAGAGGAGAGGAGGCGGGTGGAGCGCCGGGGATCGGGAAAGGGAGCCGGTCATGGGGAAGGGATCGAAGTGGAGAACAATTGAGCGCCGGCTCTGCTTGTGCACCCGGTGGCCGGGTGGAGCAGGAACGAGAGGGGCTAGGCGAGGCTCAAGGGCCTGGCCCCTTTGGGAAGAGGATCGCCCGGCACCGAGGCAAGAAAGCCGAGGCTCCCCCCGGACTGCTAGGGCTGTTGTGAGCTGAGGGGGCGCTCCTCAAGTGGTGGTCGAGGGGCATTTACAGAGGCGCCTTTGCGCCCCTGGCAAAAAAAAGGGTTCTGCGACCGCTTACTTCGCGTAAAGGTTTAACCAAGTTCCATATAATGAACGTTTCTGTATCTGTGGGGCGACAGAGGTAGAGGATATTACACATGTACTGTTTAATTGTATTTTGTACAACAAAGAGAGAAATCAATACCTCGGACCATTCATCATACAGAAGACTCACTGGGATCCCCATATCAAAACTACATTCTTAATGGCTGGCCAGAATGCTAAGATAACACACCAAACAGCCCTTTTCCTTCATAAAGCAACGCAGCTGAGAACTGCGTATCTGGAGGCGATTGGGGTAAACTGTAGGGGTGACGCAGATATCTGAAGTGGCTTGGGATTGTGTAATAGCTATTTTAACATTCATTTTAATCTTCGTTTTTAATTTTTGTGGTATGAAATTTTATTTTGACATTTTAATGATGACATTTTTAGTTATCTTTTAACCTAATCAGGTTTGAATGTGTGTTGGTTCGCTGTTGCGGGGGTCTTGGGATGGTGATTGTTGTCTGTTTGTGCACGTTTCTGTTTTTGTCTTTAATGTTGATGTGGTCAATAGACTATTCAATAAACTTTGCTTTGCTTTAGCTTTACCATTATATGTATATGGAATGGAGTAGATAAGGAATATCCTTCTCAACTCAATCAGGTAAAGAACAAGAGTTAGGATGGGTTAAAGTACTGTACAGAAAGCTGGCATGATGGTCAGGTGTTGGCCCTAACTTGGTAGTCAGAAATAGGGCAGTTGAAGCATGTTGCACTGAACAGGACAGCAAAAATACAATGTAATGACCAGAACTAAAATGTCCCTTTGACACACCATGCCAAGTGAAACTTTGCTGTATGTTATAAAAGCCATGGGAGAAATCCAGAAACTTGTTCAAATGAGTTCTAGATTCATCCTAAACCTTGCCCCATCTTAAAATTTGGCACATGAAGCAGAGGACACGCTGCTACATAATAAAAGCCAAATAGTAAACACCGATATATAGCAGACACAAATGAAAAACCGATGCTCTTACTGCAGATCTATTAAAGAGAATAGCTGGTTTTGGTGCTTCCAAAATATAAACTGCCACTGAAGGTTGACAATACAGCCAGTCAAGGGAAGCAATGTGCTGTCTATTTACAAGCTGGTGTACTTCACCATTCAGGATCAAATAAAAAAGTGATAAGTTTCAGCTTCCCATTTCTGATGTGAAATATAGTGACATATAAGAAAGATATTTCCTGGCCATTTCTTTTTCTCCTCCCAAGCTCAGTTCATGTTTGCTGCCTAGTGTTATTCATTTGGACATTAGTTGCTCCCTCTGTGGTTGATCAATGGGAATCCATTAAAACCAGATGATCACAATAGCCTCTTGTTTATGTCTGTCTGCACTGAAGAGAGAAACTGGTGCAAAGCCATTACTCTTCATCATATGTTGTTAGCTTACACAAGACTGTAGAGTTTCCAGCCTCCAGTGACTTGTCTTTCTGTATTAAGGATTAACATTTGAAATGTGTCTATATAAGCAGAGACGTACAGTATATTGCAGCGGAAAAAAACCTGCAAGAAATTTCTTGTTTCCACAGTACCACTTTCTAACTTATAATTCACTCTGCATTACATGAATCTACACTGACCATATGATGCAGTTCGAACTGCATTATATGGCAGTGTAGATGGAGTCTTAGATGCAAGAAACAATAGCCCAAGTTAAAATCACTTTTCTCCATGGGATCCTATTTATCTGCACCACAGCCCATAAGATGCAAGAGACAGGGCCCCAGGTTAAAATCACTTTTCTCCATGGAATCTTATTTTTATGCAGCACCCAAGTTAAAATAACTTTTCCCCATGGCAGGCTCATAGCCAGGATTTTGATTTAGGGGGAGCTGATTTCGAGGGGGGGGGGGTGAGTCTGAGTGAAAGAGGGTCTACCCTAGCAAACCTTTTGTATCGTTACCCCAATACCCCCATGCTTATGGGATATATTGAGCATGGTGATCAGATCATGATATGAATAAACATAACAGTTTAAATAATGCACCAGTAAGGCCTTCTCGCGGACCACCCTGAGAATTGGGGGGGGGGGGGCTGAAGCCCCTCAAGCCCCCCCCCCCCGCCCCATGGGATCCTATTTATTTACACCGCAGCCCATAGGATACAAGAGACAGGGGCCCAAGTTAAAATCACTTTTCCCCATGGGATCCTATTTATCTGCCACCACAGCCAGGGCCGTAGCCAGAAAAAAATTTCGGGAGGGGTTGAAATTTTCACGGGGGGGGGGGTGTTGAAATTTTCACGGGGGGGGGGTTGAAATTTTGGGGGGTTGAAATTTTCACGGGGGGTTGAAATTTTCATGGGGGGGTTTGAAATTTTGGGGGGGGGGTTGAAATTTTTGCAGGGGGGGTTTGAAATTTTCACCGGGGGTTGAAATTTTTGCGAGGGGGGTTTGAAATAATTCGGGTGGGGTTGAAAATTTCAGGGGGGGGGGTTGAAACCTGCCTCCTAGCTCACGCTGAAGCAAAGAGCACAGCAGGGGCAGAGCAGCCTTCAATAGCCTGCCGCTCCGCCCCTGTCAACCACCTCCACCAAGTCTGGCCTCCTTAATGAGAGCATTCAACCACCCCCCCCCCAACTTGGTTGCTTCACTACATCGGCTATTGCTGCAAGTAATGACAGTGTGAATAAATTGTCAATATTTGCTTGAGATAGTGCTTGCAGTTCTGGAGGGACTCTTAATTTTTGTATCTCATAGACTTAGCATGGGGATTTGGTTAACCAGTTAAAATTCATGAGTAAACCAGGTTTTTTTAAAATCTGAAACATTTCGGGGGGGGGGTTGAACCCCTAACCCCCCCCTCCCCTCGCTACAGGCCTGACCACAGCCTATAGGATGCAAGAGATAGGAGCCCAGGTTAAAATCACTTTTCCCCATGGGATCCTATTTATCTGCACCACAGCCCATAAGATGCAAGAGAGGGGGGCAAGTTAAAATCACTTTTCCCCATGGGATCCTATTTTTATGCACCACCCAAGTTAAAATCACTTTTTCCCATGGGATCCTATTTATCTGCACCACAGCCCATAGGATGCAAGAGACAGGGGCCCAGGTTAAAATCACTTTCCCCCATGGGATCCTATTTATCTGCACCACAGCCCATAGGATGCAAGAGAGGGGCCCAAGTTAAAATCACTTTTCCCCATGGGATCCTATTTATCCGTATGCATCACAGTCTATAAGATGCAAGAGACAGGGGCCCAGGTTAAAATCACTTTTCCCCATGGGATCCTATTTTTATGCACCACCCAAGTTAAAATCACTTTTCCCCATGGGATCCTATTTATCTGCACCACAGCCCATAGGATACAAGAGACAGGGGCCCA